CAGCAGCAGCAGCACCAAGCCGCAACAAGTAGCAAAGCAGCAGCTACAAAAGCGGCAACCTCAGGCAGCAGCAAACAGCACCAGCAAGCAGCAGAGCGGCAGCAGCAGCAGCACCGTTTACACCAAGCCACCGTTTACACCCAACCAACCACGTTCACACGTTCAACCAACCCGCGCTACGCGGCGCAACTGGGAGTCGAACCGTGGGGGGGGGGGGGGGGGGCCTAGCGTGATATATCAAGCTTTAAGGCACACAGTTCATCCCACTACCAATTGCTTAAGCAAAGAAGAACTCAGCTAGCATGCTAGCTTTCGTGATTTTGACGAGGCGCAGCCGAAATGTTACGCGATGCATCCACAAGAAAAAACGAGCAAATGATCATGCCTCCGACGAAGCTGACCATGCTTCCGACAAAGCTCGTCAATGAATCCTAAATACAAACACTAAATCAGTAGATGTTTTGCAAAAACGCATGCAAAATCCCATGAGTGTCATCTTGATTCTCCAATAATTACATGTGTTTCCGCTATCCAGGATCATCATCCAAAATTCAAGTGCATGATGTCTTTGACATCCTGGTTTTGAACGCACACCCCAAAATCCAAAATACCAAACAAAACACCAACAATTTCCAACACGCTAGAGTGGGGGGGCCAGGCCCCCCCCCCTTAGTGTGATATATCAAGGTTTAAGGCACGCAGCTCATCCCCACTAACAATTGCTAAAGCAAAGAAGAACTCAGCTAGCATGCTAGCTTTCGTGAAAAATTTGCGTTTCGCCTAGTTCTCAGAGCAGTTTTTGAAATTTTTGCACGGTATTTACAGTGTTTTCTAAGGATTTTTGAGCTAGTGCGTGCTCTCCCAAGCACACCCACCCTCTTTTTATTTGGACGCCCCGTATCGTTTTCCAAGGCCAACGCAAAATCACGCTCCTGGATTCAACGCCCTTGTCCAAAGGCAGTAACAATAGTTTTGAAGACGACTGGTACGCATTGACCCAATAACCGATGGACCCCTTCTGAGCCAAGCGTCCGTCGGAACCAGACGTTCTTGCACAGGCTGCCAGCTTTCGCGCCATGCCTTGCGCTGCGCTCGCACCACAAGACTCACGACACTTCTTGCTGCCTGCGCCCTTGGGAGTTCCTGCTGGTATACGTCCAACAAACCGACGCAAGACCATCCGACACAGTTTCGGCATGGCTGCTCTTGTCATCTATCACAAAAAGAAAGCATGTCTTGGCGACATGGCAACCTACGTCCCGGAATGCCGTCTTTCACCGATCCCTGCATCAGGAGATGTTTTTCTTCTTTTCTCTTTACCCCCTGCCATGGAACAATTCTGAGAGTCACTTCTTGCTCAACCCAGCTGACAAAATTTCCGGCCCAGCCTCCGTGGGGTCGCAGAATTGGTGCACCGGATGCCACGTTTCCTCTAGCAAGACTACTTACAAATCTGCGTTTTGCCGCACCAGGCAACTTTGGGTCTGCTTCTTCAGTCTCCAGGCACTGTTGCCTTCTACACTAACAAGCTGGTGTCCCAGGATGCGTCCCCCCCACATGAACGTTTTTGCCATGCCCCTGCACAGTCGGTCGTTCTCCTGCTGCACTGGAAGAGCTGCTTCTGTGCACACCTGATGCAGCAGCATTCCGCACTAGGTAGATCTCGCCAGCATGAAGTTCACTTTTCTAGACAGACATTGGAATCTCGCAAGTCGCAATCTTGCACAGCGCCCCCGGTCTGCTTCCTACACGTTTCAAAGTAGTGAAGCCTCTTGAAAGAATGATGACGAACTGCCAGACTCATCCAGTCATACTTTGGACGACAAGGCTGCAGTAAGTCACAGCTGTCACGAAGCACTATGCATCATTGCGGTCCGCTTGGGCTCGACTGGGCGCCACCCATGTCGGCAAATATGGGCCACCAAAGTCCGCAACACCTCGTGCGTGGGATGTTGCAAAAAGGTCCGAAACCAACACCCACATCGACTCACGGCCGAGCAGCTGTTGCCCAGAATCATGTGGTCGTCAACCCGAACTGCCAGCACCGTCAGCGACACGGTCTCACCCCCTACGCCGGCGAGGCGGGCGCGTCGGCCGAGCAGCGCGCCCGCCGCGCAATGCATTGCAGCGACAAGTATAGGCACACACACACACACTTTTTCGTGATTCCGCACAGAAGATGAGCATGTCCTGTTATTGAAGCATGGCATGGAAGATCTGTGTCCTATAGTCCGGTGAGTCGGACTACTTTCACAATATGACTCCGTGTCATCTAAGGTAGTGGGCCAAAGAAAAAGCGGACACACCAAAGAGGTGGCTAGACAGTCGCGATGGGATACAGATATGCTGCTATGCACATGCATCAGAGGCAGCAACCCCACGCTCATCACAAAGTCTTCACGCAGCTTCTAGTACAATGACTTACGCAACGACTGACGCCACAGACCGCTAGGTTGTCAGCTTCGAGTGAGCTTGTGTGAAACGGCTGCGCTCCAACGTACTGGCACATACGTCGACACCGACGGTTTCAAGCTTTCGTTGCGCAGGGCGCTCACTCCAGTGCCCATTCCCAATTCGACTTCGTTTTTTGGGGCATGTGGTTGTCAGTATTGCTCGCGTTTTTATATTCTATAGCTTCTATTCCATCTAGCTGTCTTGTTTTTACCAGTCTGACGCATGTCTACACAATGCAGTTGGCAAACCCTTGCTCTGGGTGGCGCGGGCGCAAAACCCTTCCCAGCCAGAAACGGGTGGAAAAGAAAACACCCACGGGTGGAAAAGAAGCCCCCGAAACGGGTCACGGAAGAATACTGACAGCGTGCAACATGAAACCTGTTGGTCCAGCAACGGATCAAGAAAGAACACTTGACGCGGAAAACAAACCCTTCGCTAGAAAAGAACATGCCCTGCGCGACCCGACATGGGTTCGAGCCTGGACTGGGCGGAAATCGAGCCCTCCGCAGGCAGATGGAAAAAAAACACCAGCCGGGCGGAAACCACGCTACACGGGCGGAAAAGAAACCCTGCGCAGGCGGAAAAAGAACCCCTGACAAGCCCGGATTTTTAACTTTGGCGGGCGGAATAAAGGAACCAGCTTGCGCCCGATTATTGTCGGGCGGGAGCCTGGACGAACTGGGTTCGAGCCCGGAATGGGCGAGAAACGAGCCCTCCGCGGGCAGGTGGAAAAAAAACCCTCTCGGGCGGAAAAGGAACCTTGCGCGGGCACAAGAAGAACCACTTACAAGCATGGAACGGGCGGAAAAGAAGCCCCAGACGGGCGGAAAAGAAACCCTGCGCAGCCCGAAAATTGTCTAAAAAGAACCCCGCGCGGGCGGGAACCAAAGAAAAGGCAAAAGCGAACACTGCGCGGGCGCAAACAGAACCTGTCGCAAGCCCCGAGTGGGCGGAAAAGAAGCCGCGTACAGCCTGCAAACTTTTAAAAAAGAACCCTGCGCGGGTGCAAACGGCACCTTTCGTAGCCGGAAACGGTTGGAAAAGAAACCCTCCACGGGCGGGAAAGAAACCCCCCGAAACGGATCACGGAAGAATACTGACAGCGTGCAACATGAAACATTGGTCCAGGGGAAAAAACCCTGGCAGGCGGAATAAAGGAACCAGCTTGCGCCCGATTCTTGTCTAAAGAGAACCCTGACGGAATGGAACCGTGCAGAGAAAAGGCACAGTGCGTCCCGAAACTGGTTCGCTGTGAAAAGCGAACCTTGCGTGGGCGCAAACAGAACCTTTCGCAAGCCCCGAATGGGCGGAAAAGAAGCCTTCCACGGGCGGAAAAGAAGCCCCGCACAGCCTGCAAACAGCCACCTTTCGCAGCCGGAAACGGGTGAAAAAGAAGCCCTCCACGGGCGGAAAAGAAGCCCCCGAAACGGGTCACGCAAGAATACTGACAGCGTGCAACATGAAACCTGTTGGTCCAGCAACGGATCAAGAAAGAACACTTGACGCGGAAAACAACCCCTTCGCTAGAAAAGAACATGCCCTGCGCGACCCGACATGGGTTCGAGCCTGGACTGGGCGGAAATCGAGCCCTCCGCAGGCAGATGGAAAAAAAAACACCAGCCGGGCGGAAACTGGGACGGAATGAAACTGTGAACCTCGCCTCATCCCCGACCGAAAAATGGGCGGGAAAAGACCCCTGGCGGGCGGAGGAATGGCCTCGCCACACCCCCGGCCGGAAAACGGGCGAGAAAAAAAACCTGGCGGGTGGAAAAAAAGAAACCAGCCCGTATATATATAATATATATATATATATTATATATATATTTATATATCTGTGTGTGCGATTATGTACGTATATAACGTATAGCTCATCCTTCAAAGACGGGGTGTCAACGGTGTCAATGGTGAACCAAGCCATGAGAAAGAATGTTCAATCAGCTAGAACACCGATGTCTCCGACGTCTCAGCATTTTGCAAGGACCGATGCAACAAAACAAAAACTCAACCAGGTGCAGCCAGGCATCTCTTCAGAACCTGACCGGACCCAGCAAAAACGCTGTCTTGCTCACCACTCAGTATCTTCGCGCGCCAACCCCCAAATGGTCGGTCTTTCTGCCACAAGAAAGTTAAAACCCTATCGCTACTAAGTGTCACTCAAGGATCTCTCTGTTTATCTTCGTTTCTTCACGGATTCTTCAGCATCTTTCATGTGTCATCCATTCATGCCTATTACGGCGTGGACTTTGCACCGTCTGATCAGTTTCATGGTGCCGTGCAGGCTTCACTGTTCTGAACCGAGCAGCCGAAGCCTTTCAGCACACTCGGCGCCTGCCGTTCAGGGTGAAGTTGGGCCCAAATGGGAGTTGGAGAACAACTAGACTAGTGTGACTGCAGTGGGTCCGATTCAGGCACTGGAGAGTTCGACAAATTTGACAGAGAGAATCATCTGTTGAATTATGTTGAATGTATCTCCCATCTGATCCCATCTCCCACACATCCATCTTGACACTCATGCCTTAGCAGCCCATTCCGGCAGCTGCTCCACTGTCAGCTGTGGGGGACATGGGAGAAACCAACTGGTCATTGGTTTGAGCTCTTTCCTCAGATGGCTCTTCGAATCAGAGGGGGCGGTCTCTGCCGGCTCTGCGTGTGCAATACTTGCTGCTTGTGGTGTTGGCAAAAGTAAACGTTGCTTGTGCAAAAGTATCTAATTACTACAGCAGTTATCATTTGATGAAGCTTGTTTCAACTAGATAGAATATTGAATGAATGCATCTTTACATGTTTGCCCAAGTTGCACTTCCAGAGGTGCCAGCTTCTTTGATTTGGCCTCCGCAATCCATGAAGTTGCAATCCTGACATGCGGCTCCACTATGGATCTATTTGTTCTTGTTTCAACTCTAGAATCGCGCAAACAATGTGATGATGCACAAATGCAGAACGGCAAAACAGGCGTTGCCAGCTGATTGACTGAGAGAGCTCCGATATCAATGAACATAGGATTACTTAAGCGCTTGTGCAAGCCGCCAACAAAGAAGATCTCTTGATGGAGTCTCCATAGAGTTTGCACTCCATCTGTCCAAACTGTCCTGTTCTTGGCCCATTTCTTGAGCCCCAAAGCCTTTGAGCTCTGCGGTGCAGCCTCAGAGGCTAAGACTGCCTGGCCATCTCCAGGAGCCCAGGGATGCTCAGCTTGAGTAAACAAATAGACGTCTACCTGTTCATTACCAAAGTATTTAGATCCAAAGTTCCAAAGGGTGACATTATCATATTCAAATTTGAATCAACGTGTCCTTTAGACCACACCAGCTGTGTCCTTTGGAAGATGTCCCGCCTCGAGGACTCGGCCACCCTTTCGCCGCTTAGACGTTGCCCCATCAGCTTCATCTGTTCCATCTGGGTCTGACCTCTGATCGGTCCAGCTGAAATTGTCGTTCAACAGCACAGCTTGCCAATGCTCGGCCAATGCGTCAACGAACCGTGCTGCATCAAGAGACGGGCCCGTTTGCAGAATCTGGTCACGATTCCTGGCAGAGTTTCCCATAAATAGGTCATCCGGCATCGCTGCATGAAGCTCCACATGACACTCACCAAAGGCAAAATTCATCCAACAGGTGGAACAACCAACACTCAACAACCATGAAAAATTATATAACATAACATATCAATGAAATATGTGGGTCGGGCTTGAGACACAGCCTCTTCTTCGGAGTGACAGCCCAATTGCCATCGAGCTCGAGGTCGTCATTTGTCATTGCATCAGCCCAGCGTGCTCGATTCGTAGAAAGTCAAGGTCACTTTGGGTGATAAGTGCGCTAATTGAACAACTCCAGCTTCACTAATCTAAGCGGGAACCGCTTTGATGAAACAATTTTTTTCATTCTGATGTTTCACCTAATTGAGCATTTTGACAGAACCACATTGAACCACATGTCCTTTTTGAAAGGCGTCAAGATCACGGCATGTGGCACAAAAGAGGCAAGTCTTGATGCATGACCGCCGATTCAGCACTGCTTCACTGTTTGCATGCCTTGGCGTTTCCATGCTATGTCATGTTTTCATGTCTCAGCTTTTACATTTCTCGTCCTGCTTTCTGTCATTTGCTCGTCTTTGGTCACCAGAGGTCGGCTTTTTCGGCCTCATTATTGACTGAGCACTCAGTCGAGCAGTCTGGTGTAGCGGCGTGGGGTCGCTTCAGAGATCGCTTCAACACGGTTTCTGCATGGTTTCTAGGCTAGTAGCTTCTTGTTACTAGTAGTGATAGCCTCCACCCTAGTGGAGTCCTTGTTACATGGATTTCAAGCAACAATTGAATCATTCCTAGGCAATTGGGGCATTGCCACGATTCACATGATTGGCAGATGATAAATGCAGCTCACAGGATTGCAGTAAGAGTCTGGGCAAAGATTCTACGAAAATATGCATACGTAAATTAATGTGGTGCCAAGCTTGATTCTTGCCAGCGATACTTCCGCAAAACTCCTCACGTTCTCCTCTAACTAGGTCACTCCTGGGCTGCAACTTCTCAACTGTTCAACTGAACACGTTCAGCAAGTGGAATCATCAGGTCAGCCACGACGGGATAGTGCTGTAAGGAGAACAGCAGCTACCACAGGTCATAATGAATGGAAGTTTTGCCCGGTGTGTCTTGTGTTCTTTCCAAAAATCCTTCCAAATTCGTGGACTTACTACGGAGTGAATTCCAGTGAACGTCCAAAACTCGTAAAGCCCGTTGGAGCGGGTCTCCAACCTAATGGCTTCTTGCTACTATTGCTTGCCAAAGGAATTTCATCATAGACGACCGTACTAGCTCCATTCAATTCCCTTGAATCTCATTCCACATCGCAGGATCACTGGACCTACAGCCAGATCGGGCATGTCCTCTTTGGATCAGTGATGCCCGGTACTGGCCATGACCGGACCTCCGCTCCAACGAAGACACTCATGACAACATCACGCGTCATCAAGTCAGAATTGAACGCAAACCCAACGGTCATCTGCTCATTCGAAACAATGTTTGCTATTAGAAACAAGTGCCACGCTACTAGTAACAAGTGCCTTACTAGTAGTAACAAGAAGCTATTAGAATTAATTTTAAATCTATTTTAATTCTGCTCCCTCGAAAACGTGGGGGTCAAACAAACTATACAGCAACCACAGCATGACAGTGTCACATGGGATCACGCAGGTGTGAGTGGAGATGGCGTGGGCATCCAATCACCAGTCTTGCTTGGGAGACAACCTACACTACATTGGAAACATGGCAAATGTCAATATCTTTCTATTACAGTATGTAGACTCTAGACCATCCTTGTGTGCATGCATCTTCCCAAGTTTCATCTGTAATTAGCACGACGAGCTACCTCAGCGTGTACTGCTGATGTGATGCAGGCGTGTGGGTATGAGCACATCTGAAAAACAGCATAATAAATTAATACAATAATAATATAAATGAAACAATTAGCAACAACACTGCTTGTAGTTTTTTGCCTTGGCATAACATGGTGCAGTTCAGCTTCCCCCACACACACACAAAGCCTCCCAAAGTTGAAAGGCCAATATGGTTGCGGAGGCAATTTCTGAGCGGCTCCTGTACTTCTTTCCGGCCAGGAGAAAAATCGAAAACTAGTATCAAAATGACGTGACAAAGGAAGCGGACGGCGGTCACGCTTCCAAGATTACACTTTCTGTTCAACTTCGGCCAATTCGTGCGTCCGAATTGAGGCCTGAAACTAGGCGCGAAGCCCCTCAAAAAGCCCAAGGGCCGGGGAATGCCAGTGTTGCCACTGGGACTCAGCAAATGGATGTCCATAAATCTTCAGCACATCTTCTGACACCCTCCTTGTCTCAGGACATTGTGAAGCAGAATTATGAAAACTGGAAGTCAGTGAGTGCTATGAGCAGGACAGTGCATTTGCATCTTCGGTTCACTTGCGTTCTTGCAAGATCGGAACAACTGAACAAGCCGCTAGCCAGCCCACACGAACTTGGAGAAAGGAAGTGCCTGACCGTCTGACCTATGGGTTGCAGGAAGGATGCAGCCCAAAGCTAGAGAATCGGACATCTTTGTATCAAATCATTGTTTCATCGCTTTGCAGGTGTTCTCTTCTTTTTGTCAGAGCCATAACCTTTCTCGATGAACATAAAATGCTCAGGTCGCTGTCATCCTGCCATCAAGGCAGGCCCAAATGGAAGCATAGGGAACTTGGGATCGATGAACCCAGGAGCAAGGACGCTACTAGGGGCTCCTGGCATCGCTACTAGGAACAAGAAGCTACTAGGGACTACTAGGAGCAAGGACGCTACTAGGGACTACTAGGAGCATGGGTCCAAAAATCCCAAAACCTTCACGCGAAAACTTCGTCAAACAATGCAACAGTCTCAGCATCCTGCCTTGGGGAAGGAACGAAGGCCTGCAATTGGTGCCAGAAAACAGGAAGAGTGCTTCAGAACTTACCAGTGTGTGATGTTGTTCTAGATTATCCCCCAACATCTAGACTTTACATGTCGCTGCTGTTCGTATCTTTCGTTACTTTTGGCCAATTCTTAAGTGCAACTAATGCCAAATCATGGACCTACACTCAAGAGAGGCCAACTCAGGCCTTTGGTTAAACACGTTCCTGGAACTATGAAGAGACATGAAGAGACCAGAAACTATGAGGAGATCAGCAATCAAAAAAACAGCATCCAAGACTACTGGGTTTTCTGCCGGATCTCGGAAAGACATTGTGGTTGCCCAGGAATACGCAGACCGTGGGCAAGCAACTTTCTTGTACAAGACTGGACACTTGTGCGTTAGAAGCAAATGTTGCATTGCGCAGGACTCTGCTTGTCCACGACTACGCTTAATTATGCTTGAGTCATGGTTCAAGGCGCAATTACGAAGACTTGCCGAAAGTGGAACTGCCCCACAATGGGTAGAAAGAAAGTGCAGTCCTACACAGCTCGTCTGGCTACAAAGCATCACAAGGTCATCAGAACACAGATGTCCATCTTAAGTGCGGAGCATGCCTCAGACCACGTTCCTCCTACTAGCGGAAGTGTTAAATCGATGTCCGTGTGAAGTTCAAGATCCCTATGAGCACAACTCAGTGTACGGTCACACATTCACGAGAAGTCGTACAGAAGTCATACTGAAACCCCATGGGCACACGTTTGGTAGGGAGTTGGGTGCTTGGAAGGAGAACTGCATGCAGCAATGAAATCAAGTTTGTTGACGTTCCTGTAGGTGCCCAATGTTCGACCCTTTCCGTTGGAATCGTTTGTGCTTGTATACTGGGCGAGGTGCCGCGCGAGCCTCTGGACATCCATGCGAGATCCGCGCAAGGTCTGTGTGAGCGCATCCCAGTGCAAACCCCACGAATCTAGCCGGACATATGCGATCAGCACGCCATGCACCAAACAGGTACAAGTAAAACCTAGAAGTAATATGTGACTAGCAGTAAACCCCAAAGGGCACACGAATCCAGACTCAACAAAACAAGCAATAGCTATGAAGGTGACCCTTTTCCAAATCCAAACTGCATGGGCACAGTCGGCACAGTGTTTCTAGACGACTTTAGCCAAGCCCTAGCAACTTAATATGACTACACTAGTATGATGGAGCACCTGCTAAAGAGAACTACAGAGATTCAGAATCGTTGCCACAAGGCTCTGACTGAATTGCTGCAAAGTTGGCAGAAAGAAGTGGCAACTTCCATTGCAAATTAAGACTGTGAAGATGTACGCTGTACATCACTTTTTGTACATGAAACCACATGATCCGTCCGCAGAGGGCGGGCTCAGCTTGCTAAAAGGCGCGGACGCGGCGGCCCTTCCGACGGTCGCCCTTGCACTTCGGTTCGTTCATCGATCCACCCACTTGCTGGAGAACTTCGTGTGTTTCCAGTTTCTACATTGGTAGCGGAGCCCGGTCCAGGCCGGGCTCCCTACCCTGCGCACTTCGCGACGACTTCCCGAAGGCTCGGAGGAAGCCCTACGTCACGAACGGTTCCAAGAGCTCTATTTTCCTGTCTAGGTCTTTGTCTGGCTGTTTTTCTCATCCGCTACCACATCACCCCAGCGAACCAGCAGACCTCTGAGGAGCTCTTCGGCACCATGGCCCACAAGAAGACACCACAGACGCAGGCATCCGGCTCGGCGGGAAGCAGCTCGGCATCGGGCTACCTTGACCTCAGGGACTCCTATGTTCCCATCTTCAGTGGCCAGCCGAGCGACTACAAGGAATGGCGGCAGCGGATACATTTGTATCACCGCAAGATGTCCATCACCAAACGTGGGAACGAGAGCGTCCTGAACATCGTGGGCAGCTTCACAGGCCTCACCTGGAGACTCTTCCAGGACTGGGCATTGGAGGATCTCGAGAAGACAGATGCCTTTCCGAAGATCATAGAGGTCCTCGACCGCAACTTTGCCTATGACGCCAGAGTTCAACTTCCCACGGACTTTGAGGGCTACTTCAACTTGTTGCAAAGGCCACCAGGTCAGACGCTCCTCATGTACGTCAATGACCACGAAGAAGCATATCGAAAGTTGGTGCAACATAAAGTTGAGCCACTCTAAAAACCTGGAGTCACTCCCTATGTCGTATCACTTTCCTTGCGCGAGGCCTTCCGCGCTGCTTACGCGGCCCTCACTTTTGCTTACGCAGAGCAAACTTCCGAAATGCTTACGCGAAATGCTTACGCAATCTTACGCAACTCAGGGTATTGCTTACGCGGAATTCGATATGACAAGGTCCTTACTTAAGATGTAAAGGCAGGTTTTTAGAGCGGCTCAGTTGAGCTTCCTCCCT